ACTTTCCTTTCTTGCTATTTCATGAAATGTGCATCTGTCAAACATAAACGAGCTCCACAGGCTGCTTCTCAAACTACCAGAGCCATTCCAGCTKTGACAAAGCCACGAGAGCCCTGAACTCAAACCCTCACCCAAAGTTAGTCCAAAACCAGCCACAGCCCCTCCAAACCCAGTCCCCAGGCAGCCACAGCTCAGCACTCTCTGTAAAACACCATTTTACCCCTCCGAGCTCCTCTGTCCTGTGTCTGACTGCACAGACTGGCCCCTGCTCCCTGTGCTCAGCAAGATCTGCCACTCTGCAGCTGCTCCCTGCTCAAGGAGGGCTGACCCTGCTCCTCTGAGCCCACCGGGAGCTGCAGGGGCACACAGGCTGCAGGACTGGCACCTGCTGCTTGCTCCGGGCTCCGTGGCCCAGGATAAATCTCTGCCTCACACACAAAAGRCTTTGAGGAGGGGAGGGACAGCCACAGGTGAGGACTTGTGCTCTTCCTTGCCATGACCCCTTCATCTCTGCATAGCCCTGTGCCCCTCCTAGAGCACTCCAACAAAGCGCAGCTTCTTGTTTCACACTCCCCTCTYTGTTTATTTTATTTAAAGCTTTCACTTCTGAGCTTTGAGGCTAGAGATCAAACAAATAAAAGGGAATTTGGAAGCTGCAATGTCTGATCTACATTCTGCTCAGAAGTTAAACTAAAAATTGCCCCCAAGCCAATACACAGGCACTCATTTTGGAGACCATTTGGTAGGATATAAACCAGTCGATTTCCCTCCCAGGAGGTCACTATGAARATCTTTGTTTATTACTTCACTATCAGATGACAAAGTTAGTCTCACAACTAAGGCACTGGACTTAAATTTAAAAGATCTGAAATTAAGTTTTCATATTCAATTTCACAGCTGTCACACGAGTCAACAAAGTCAGTTATTGTTCTKGTGTCATTTATCTGTCTCATCCACTTGGACTACAAACTTCTGACACAGAGACACCGAGTTTCACTCAGTGATGCTCCTGTGTCCCCCTGCTCTATCCAGTAAAAACCAGGAGCACTTCCCAACAGTAACAACTCTCCAACTTTCCCTTGCTCACCCCATTTTTTTTCCTACAGCATAAGATTCCATTTGTGTACAAACATTTAAATTAAAAGATCAGTACTACTTCGTTTAGAACATGGATGACTGTTTCTCTGGTAGTATTAAAAAGGATCTTGCCAGCAGATCTTTGTCTCCTCACAGCCCAAATCCCATTTTCTAGTCTCCCACTTCAGTCCACCTTGCAGGCATACAAGCAATAATCTGAGTCATGAGACCACAGCACCAAGTTTTTGTGTAGTTGTTCAAACATCACAGATAAAATTCTGTTTAAGTARCTAATATTTGTGGCATATTGGTCAATTTTTCTGTTACACTGGATCTATTGCCTTATATACCCTAACTGCCGATCACAAACTTCAACCAAATACCATTTCTGATGACATGTCCAAAACAATGGATTTTCCATTTATACCCAGYTTGTCAGATGAGACTCTCTGCTCTTTAGATAATCCCAGTAACAGACACRTTTATTCTAATAAATTCATGTTTCAGTTCACTTATAAGATGTGAAGAATCACACTTTTCCATGGTGCAGCATGGGACAGTAACTGAAGTYAACAAGAACCCTGCAGGCGTGTCCCAATGTAGGATTTGATCCATAATCATGTTTATTAGAATCCAAGTACATAAAGACCCTCTCTTACTACACTGAAAGCACTGGGAGGATTCCTATTGCAAGGAAAATAGGATTAGAGGCCAATTCATGCAGGACACTGTAGCTGGTGCCATGCCATCAGCTCTTAGGCAGAGTATCTCCTGTGTCTTAAATGAGGGTGTTTCTTAATCACTGATGGCAAACCCATTGTTTGACCATATTTCTGCTTTTATACAGAGGAAATATCCATGCGTACAATGAAAAGATTTGGAAATGCTAAATACTTTAAATGTATTAGGCTATTCAATTATTACATGCAGATTTGGTGCAAGTACTTATCTCTGTGTGTTAGGGAGCTCAAAATAGGATAACGAAGGGTATGCATTATGCTGCCATGCAGATAAAACTCAACAGCAACACAAGGTTGGTCCTGCAGTCTTTAACACCATGTGAACACAGATTTAGTTGGATTTGTTTGCCCTGCTTGTGTAAACYAGTTATGACACTGCCTCAAAGGGGTGGACTCAAAAAAGGGCTTCTAGTTCCCAGAAGTAAGAAAAAGGGGAAAACACCCTTTTCCCATAAAGCAACCGCATTCTTTATGGAGAACAGTAATTACTGTACCTAACATAGCTCTAAGGAGTCCCACTTGAACATACAAATGGGAAACTCTGAAGGTCAAAGAAATGATTTCTTTTAAGACATTCTGAAGAATGTTTGGTGCTTATCCAACCCGAGTGGCAGCACTGGAGACCCCAGTCTTACCCCAGTCTTCCATTTCCTCACAAAAGCAGGTGATAACCCTGCAAGCCCTCACCACACTGCCATGTCAGTATTTCATCCAGGTCTTTATGCAACATTCATGTCTAGGGAACAGCTCTTGCCTCCACACTGAATTGTCTCTCTCTGCTTCAAACCACGTCCCTGGCCCAGACAGTCTTTCTGAAGCACACAGGAGATGAGGACTGGGACAGCAGCAATCTGCCTCACAGAACCAACCAAAGACACATCTCGTGGCAACAAGACTCAGACAGTTCTGGTGTAGAAGGCACCTGAATCAGGAATTTTTGAGGGCCAAGTCCCTCAGCTGTAATCTCTTAAACCACGCTGTGATTGATGTTCTATTGATACATAATGACAGGCAGCTCCAAACTACCAAAGGTACAGAGATTACACCAAACCAGGGAGAAGCCTGCTATTCAGGCAGGTCTTGATTCAAGCAGAGCAAAACAACATTATTTAGGCAAAAGGACCCTACCAAAGATTACAGGATTAATTACCTTTCTCTTCCAGGGACAAAGGCAGGTGGTGGTTTACACCTTATCAAGTCAGGGCTGGGAACAGGARCAGCCTGACTTGTCTTTGTCTGGCACTGGAGCTGCCACAGAGTGGCACTGTTCACAGAGACCAGCGAGCACAGCAGAGAGCTCGAAGCACCAAATTCTGCTTTAGCCAATTTTGTASCCCTCAGCATCAGTCTCCATCTGGAGACCCCCACTAAACATTTTTCTGTATTCTGCTACATTTTTCACTGATTTAAATCATTCCATTACCCCCACTGCTGGCCACAGTGCCAGCTAGCTTATTTTCAGAATCCAATGCAGCCTAGAAATGGTGCAGAAGTGCCATATCCCCAAAGCACAGACATGTAAAGAATCGGGACAGACAGCAGTTTAGCTGATCTGGGCAGGAGGTCTTGCCCTAACAGGCATATGTGACATGCTGCCTTGGCGGCACACGCTCGCATCCATCTGTTGACGTGGAACTGAGCCCACTGCACTTCCACCGTCCTGCTTTTAGTTCAAATGCACCATGAAAGCTCTGGGTTCAGTAGGCAGGGTGCACAGTGCTGCAAGTCCTAAACCCAGCCTCCACTGTCAGTGGGGAAAACACTGCAAGAATTCTCACAGTCATGGAGGGGAGAGGAAACACAGAAACAGCCTCCAGCCCTGGGATCCTGGRAGGAAAGCAGATCTTTCCAAAGAAAAAGCAATAGATCATGAGCAYTACAGAGTCTTGTTTAATTTCTTGGGGTCAGTGAATTCAGAAAAAGCAAAATGAACTTTTTAACACAAGCACCTGCAGTTAGATCTCAGAAATGATCACCTTCTCTTCCACTAGACACCAGTGAGCACCAACTTAGTCTTGGGAGTAAAAGCTAACTTTCACATGTATTTTTACATGAGAAAGAAACTAATTTATTCAGAAAAGAGGARAAGGTAGTAGCCAGATAAAACACAGAACCCGTAAAGCACCAGCAGGTTACAGTGACCCATATAGGAATGGTTTGCATTACTGTGAGCCAAAACCTGCAACTGTTTGCCCAGAAAGTGTGAAGAGGTATCAGGAAGAAGTGTGAACTTCCCTGCATGAAGATTATGAATCTGCGTCAGAAGAGACTCTGTTAGCAGAGAGGGGAGCTCAGGGCCTTTYCTGCACAGTCAGTGGCATAAAATTATTTCCTTTCTTCCACAGATAACTTGGCAGGGACATTTGTTCAACATTAGCTAAGTGACAGTGGCTGAGCAGGGAGCTGAAGCCCAGCCAGAGCAGCACCACACCTCTGAAGCTTCAAACACTTTTGCAATGCAGATTTAAGACTGTGTTCTCTGTCCCAGACATTCCTGTCACTAGATAAATAAAGTTTTATAACTGCCTTCTCTGGCAAGCCACAGTGTGGTAATGTGGCATTAATACCTTAATACAGTATTAACTGATAGACAGTCAGTATTAGCATGACGTTTACATTTGAAAAACATTACAGAGCACTGTATCTCCAACTCTCATCCTGCCATTAATTCAGATGTGCAGCTCATTACGCAGCAATTGACATTTCCCTTCTGAATCCTTATCCCGCTCTGCACAGGCTCCACATCTGCCCGGGACAGCCAGCCCTGTAAACTACTCACTGATCTCAACTCTGAAACAGTAGCTGCAGCCTCAGGTGAGCTATGGATGTTCTGCAGGGAGTTTAGATTTGCAAACAGTGCACCAGAAAAGCTGCAAGGRGATTCTGAAAGCGCAGCCTCCCACTGCACCTACCAAAGGGATGTGGGTCCTGCCCTTGTGGGACCCTTCTCCCCAGCCCCATGGCTGTGCCCTCTCCTGTCCAGGCTGGGGCAAGGCACCAGTCCCGGCCCTTGGGACAACCTAAGCACATTTTGTTAACAGGCTTGGGTGCGGTTCCTCAGTTTCAGAGTGGCAGAGGGAGTCTCCCCATGGCAGAGGGGTCACAGTGCCCGACCCAAGCGAGTGGCAGTCCCGGGGCTCAGCGCCCTGCGGGACAGGGCTCCCCTGCCGCCCCCCGCCCTACCTGACCCGTGCTGCTGSCGGAGGATGGCCGCCTGCCCGGGCGGCGGCGAGGCCGAGGAGGCTGCGGCGGCGGCCGTCGAGGCGGTGGCGCTGGGGATGGCAGTGGTGGCGGTGCCCCCCGGGGCCGGGGCCGGAGCCGCTGGCGGGCGCTTGGCGGGGCCGGGCGGTGGCGTGGGGCGGGCGTTGGGGCCGTGGCGACGCGGGGCCGCCCCGCTCTGGATGTGCGACACCGCCTCGGCCGCCTGCACGTCGGGAGGGGCGAAGCGGGACAGGACGCGCAGCAGCGCCTGAGCCTTGTGCTCCTGCGTCTCGTCGTCGCTGTAGTCCGACACGCGGCACTGGTAGACGCCCTCGTCCTGCCGCCGCACGCCCGACAGCCGCAGCCGGTGCGAGATGTCGTTGCCCTGGACGCGGACGGTCTGCAAGAGAGCGCACGGCCGGCACGGCATCAGCGGCGGGCAGCGACCCTGCCCTCCGCCCTGCGGCCCCCGCCCCAGCTCCCTTTGGTGATAAATCGCCCCGAACCAGCGCACACCGAACCCAGCATCCTTCTGTTACCGAGCCCAGCATCCGTTACCGAGCCCAGCATCCTTCTGTTACAGCCCCGCCTCGCGCGGGCTATCCACAACCAGACCCTGCGCCCATCGTCCCCCCGGCCAGCCCCAGGCTCGGGCAGCCCCCAGCCCGCACGAACCGCCCGCTGGGGGAAGAGCAGCCCCGGAGGTGGCCCCGCGGCCGCTGCAGAGAGCCAAGCCACGCTCCGGGGCCGAGGAGCTGCCCTGTGGCCCCAGCACCGTGGAGAGGGACAGCGGCTCCTGGAGCCGCACCAAAGGAAAGGGGCGCGTTTCCTGCAGGACACCCTGACAAGGGGGTCGCCTCAGGCGACTGGGGCTTGCAGAGAACTGGGGGAGAAAGCAAGATTCTCTCCTKATTTGGCCCACAGTCCTTTTCCAACGTGGCTACGGAAGGGCTGTAAGGCAAACGTCACCTCCTCTGGTTTTGCAAGGAATGGGACGTGACTGCAAAACCAGCAACAGATGGTAACAACGTCTTGAGCCACGGCACACTGAGGAGGGGAAACGTGCCACACTCCCGCCGTGCTGCAGGAGCGCGGCTGCCAGTGGGAGCAGCTGCATTCGTGTGTCAGGAAATGAGGGGGGCATGCAGGAAATCCCACGTGCATGGGAGGAGGGGTGTGCACCCATCGCGAGCTGCACTTACGCTGATTTTGGTTGCATCCTTATTTGCTACCTAAAAGAACAGAAAAAAAAGGGCAATTAGACTCAGCGCTGCCAGCACATCAACAGGATGCTCACATTCCCACCCCAGTGGAAGAACAGGGCATGGATACACGCAACTTTCTCCTCTTGCCATTCACACAGCCTGTGCGTGGCTCAGGGGAGTTCCCCAGGTGACGGGGGAGGCAGCAAACCAGTGCTCAGCTGGGGGAACTGTTTCGGTAAAGTTCCCACAGAAGCTGCAATCCCCAAGGGTGCAAACAGCAGCCAAAGAAATGCTTGTTGCATGCTCTGCTGCTCAGTCACTGACAAGCACTGGGGGAGACACTTCACCAGCATCACAGCAGCAAAGGGCTCGGGCAAGCTGGATCCTGCATTGCTCAGGGCAGAGCTTCAGTCCTCAAACACCCTGGGAGCAGGTATCACGCAGCAGGTTTCATGTTTGGTTATGTTTTTGTCTCCAGCCAACCACTGTAAACCTAAGTGATGCCTCAGACCTCACTGATACGCCTCTCGGGGAGACGGTCATCATTCTCCAGGCTTGCTCTGTCATCATTTATTGTAAAAGCAGCTCACAGTTTTTATATAAGGTTAAAGAAGACATTTAAATCCAAGCGATTTATTTCCCAGTCTGACAACTGACTTACACGTTCCCCAGCTAGGCGGCATCGCATTAGCTCAGTGTCTATATGCTTTGCATCTCTATTTGAGCTCTGCAGGAAAACAAGCGTGCCACAGAGAGGGGAGCTGGCACAGGCACAGAGGCTGCCGCGGGCCACCCTGCTGGCGCAGAGGAGGGGGCTGGAGAGGATGACATGTCCTGCACAGCGGGGCAGCACAGCCTCCGTGTCCTGCTTCACCCCACTCCTTGTACTGCCCCGTTTGGCACCTGCAAGTTGTCCTGCTAYGGGTGAAGCTGCAGGATGCTGGGGAAATGCAGCTGAAAAATTCAGACTAAARCCTACCCTCACACCAAGCGGCTTCCTAGGGGGAGGGGAAAAGGCACGCAAGATTTAACTCTGCTTCATGCATTTTAATTACTGCATCTGACTGAAAACGTCTTGCTGAGCTTCAGATAGGGACACGAGTGTGTACGACAAGTAACTGTGCAGTTGTAGATGCAGACTGATACCATGTTATTGTACACCAGAGAGGTGCATCCCTCATGCCTTTCTCTGCACTATCAGTGAGCAGAGGCTCTCCCACCTTTTGCAGGGATTCCTAGCTCAGTCCACAGAAGCCCTGGTTTTTGCTTGCCCGCACTTCACACTACAGCTGTTTTCACTGCCTTTCTTGGGACCTCATTGCTGATTTTGCAGTGGAACATGTATCATTTTCTGTTTGCAGTCCTTAAAGCACTGATTTTTTTCCTGACATGCAGCCCCCCATGGTGCATGCCCTGTACTCCTGCATTCCACAGAGGGCCTGGGCACACTGATGGTTCCTGCTGGATGGCACTGGGCAGAGGAGGCACTCTGGGAATGCTGAGTTTATTCACTGCCTAAGCATGTTGCATTKGATGAAGAGATATATCTCCATAGCAATGTATTACCTTGCTCCTGCTGCCGGGGACACTGATGGCTAATTCGTGTGCAAGTTCTCTGGCTGGTTCTTTAAGGTACCACCACTGGATTTCCAAGGAGTAAGAGGTGGATCCGCTGGCTCGGAAAGCACAAGGCATCTCAATATCATCTCCCTCCCTAACAGTCACATCTTTGGGWACTTCAGTAAAGGTAGCTGGCAGGGGAACATAGAGTTACAAGGGCTGGTTAACGAGAGAGATTAAAAGACAAGATCAATCCTTTTCAGTCTAACGCGAGCTGCTTCAGCTCAAAGGCTCAGCGCTGACCACGACACGGGGTTCCTGCAGCCCGGGGACCACACAGAGCATCCAGGACTGCGCACCCGGGGCAGGGCAGGGCCAAGCCAGCCCCGTCACCCTGCAGCCGGGGCTCCAGCAGAAAGTTTGAAGAGGATCTTAAACCCTCTCACCCCCAAGAAAGCCGTCGGTGCCCCCCGACCCCTCCCGCCGAGCGGCGCGGGGACTGTCCCGGGCTCCGTTCCGCKGCGCGCTGCCGGCAGCTGCGGCCCAACAGTGCCACCTTGTTCTGCCAGAGCCCGCCCGGGCAGCTCCCTGCCCCCAGCCCGCGCTGGGGACGCGCCGGGAGGCCGGGCCTGGCAGCAGCGGCCGGCGGTGCAGAGCGGCTGCGGACGGGCGGCCCCGCAGCCCCGACGGCCCCGCCGGCAAGTKGCGCCCGGAGCGGCGGAGCGCCGCGGGAAGGGGCCGAAGTTTCCTACTCACCGGTGACAATGAACAGCAGAGGAGCGTTGAACATCAGGTAACAAAGCGTGCAGAACAGCCCCCGACTTTCCATCGCATCTATGTGGGCCGCGGGCGGGGACCTGGCTGGGGGCGCAGCCGGGCACGCCTCAATCCATCGCACACAGCGGGCCGGGGCAGGGCTCCTTCCCAAAAA